CACCAAAGAAGTGTCTTTTTGGTTGTGAGGGAAAGATAACCTTGTTCAGCTTCCCAAAGAACCCATGTAAATTAATGAAATATAAAAGCACCATGGGCATTTCTATACATTTTTCTAGCCATGCCAAGCTGTAAAATATTTTTTGGGAGTTTCGCATGAGGGCAAAAAAGCTCCCCATGCAGATGTTCAAGTTGATCATGTGAATTTGCCGTGCTGACCAACAGAAAGCTGCTTGGTTTGAATGTGACTTTTATGTGGGCAGTGCTTCATACAGTGCTACATTACCGACAACGGAAAACAGAAAGTTTTTTTGCCCATGAAATTTCGCCTAAATACTTGTGACTGAACCTTTAGTCCTAGCATAAAACCCCATCCATATTTCCATTCCACAAGAAGTAGTTTGTAGCTGCAAGTGTACAAGAGACATATGTGATAAATTATAGCATGAAGTGTGTGGGAATCCACCTCTAAGAAGGTATATGCACCTTTACTAGGGTTGGGTACCGAACTCTGTACTTTTAAGGGTACCGACCGAATTGCGTCGGTGGGCCATATGGTTTCTGCGAAAACGTGGACGGGATCGTGGAGTCCATTCATAAAAACGTAATTTACTCTATAGCGCGGAATTCGTCAATTTTGGACGAATAAATCAAAAGTAGCCTAAATACAAAATGAACTAGTGTCTGCATCTCACTATATGATGGCATGAACACAAAAACTTTATCTCCAGAGCTGCTGTGAGAGTCACTTTGCGAGAATTTTACCATTTCATTTTTTGAAAACTAGCATCATCATACTGTATACACACACAAACTTCATGGCAATCTGTCAAAATAAAAGTACGATTTAACATGTAACAGAAATATATTACTCTTGTATTACTTTTGTAAAGTATAATGTACATCTTTAAATATTCCATGTTCTATCAAATTTAAATAAAACAATGAAATTATAAAAAATAAATATTACAACTAGATTAATCACTTAATTGACATGATTGTAAAGAGCTTTGGGTGTACAGCAATGCACAATAAAGCGCTATATAAATGCATCATTCATTCACTCATTCAATTGTAGAAAAAAATAATACAATTATTAGCCAATTAAAAGAAATATTCACACAATTTTTCTTCCATGTATTAATTTCAACAGTAAACCTCAGTTTGTTTGTTTGAATTTTCATTTGATTTAAAATAAATGTTTAATGCCGTCATTTGATTTTCAGTAAAATTAAAACAAGAATTTCTGAAAAGAAAAAAAAAAAAAAGGTTTGTAGGGCCCTATTGTTCAAAATGTTAAAATTGAGACTTTTGGACTTATTTTTTCACTGAAATAAATGAGTTTTTATAATTACACAGAGAGTAAAGTACCGAAAAAAGGTATCGGCACCGAAATTCAGGTACCGATACCGGTTAAAATGTGAATGTTACCCAACCCTAACCTTTACCCTGTGTAGGTGTTTTCAGCAGTGTTCGAGGAAATGCAAGGACACAGTGTGAGAATACCTACAGAATTTAGTGCGTGTCAGATGTGGATATATAATGTGGAAGTGGGGCTGACTGTGAGTGTGTGTGTGTGAATAAACTGCAGCTTTTGCTATAATACATAGCAGCTTGCTCTCATTAGAGCTTAAAACCTCATCATGTTTAATCAGTTTATATTCTGGCTAGATTTATACAACCTCTTTTCCACACACTAACATGGAGCTCAGTCTATCATAGATCACATGACAGTCACATCCTGTGCAGTCTCCAATCTCTAGTGTTTCTCAGTCCCATGAAGACCATTCTAGCCAGTTCTGTTTCTTAGTCTCAGTCTAATACGACCTTTGTTTTATCTCATGTTTGGGAGTTGTGCCTTTTGCTGTCTTTGGTGTCATGTAACAACTAATCCTTTCCCGTGGCAGACCAGCATGACCCTGAACAAACTATAATCTGGGGTCACAATATACACACAAAACATCTGGCACCGTTTACCTGGTATTAAGATTCGTTTAGGCCAATATGATCCCGAGCACCACTAAGTACAAACATAGATGTGTCCAAAATGTTTGTGATCAGATGACTTGAAACATTAGATTTATTTAGTTATGCCAAGCTCCAAAATATTTCATTAGGTAGAAATTGTGAGTAAAAAAGAAAGTATAACATTTTTTATCCTGTAAATCACGAATGACTGGAAAAGTCATGCAAATTCATAATTAATACTTTTATTCGGCAAGAATGCATTAAATAATCAAAAGTGACTTTTACACTGTTGCAAAAATCTATTTCAAATAAATACTGTTCTTTTGAACTTTTGTATTCATCAAAGAAGCCTGAAAAAACTATAATGCTTTATACAAAAATATTTTTGCAACATACAGAACAGCCTCAAAGTCTAATGATGAGCATTTGTGTGCTTTACACCTAAGCAGCTGGAGCCCTAAATACCAATGAGGAATAAAAGGCTAAAGGCTCTCAGAGAAACTGCAGATCGAAGAAATCCTGCTGGCAGAAATCCAAAAATGTGGTTGCGGGAACGAGGGGGAGAACATGCAGAAGAGGGATGGAAAGCTGTGGCGGATGTCAGGAGGAGACGGGGGGCTTTCGCAAAGTTAATTAACGGACATTAATTGCTCTCATTAAACACTGACTGGTTTCATTGGGTTTCTGAGTGTCTGGACATTTGTGATGCTAAGCCCTGCTCCGATGAGAAAGAGCCAGCTCTTTAGCTGAGAGCACTATGGCCATCTGATAAGGAGAGCAGAGTACACATTACATGACACACACTCAAAGCACTTCTCACACATTTAAGTGAACAGAGACAGCGAGAGAGGGCCCAAAACCCTTGCACCATGATATTACTAAGGTTTATCTGAAACTATATTTATGGTAATACCATTGTACCGAATAACAATATGTTGAAGAATATACAAAATAGAAAAGGTGGAAAGATAAACAGGAAAAAAGAGAACAGGAAAGGCCAGTGTTCAAAGGTCAGGCTATTTCTAGGATCAAGTGACACTGAAGGTTGGAGTAATGGCTGCTGAATATTCAGCTTTGCCATCACAGCATTAAATTACATTTGAAAATGTACCAAAATAGAAAACAGTTATTTAAAATTGTAATAATATTTTTTCTGTTTTCTGTTCTATTCCTGTTTTTAATGTATTTTTGAGCAAATAAATGCAGTCTTTGTGAACATGAGAGACTTCAAAAACATTTGAAAAAATCTTACCAACTCCAAACTTTGAATGGTATTGTATCATTCAAAAAGAAATTAAAAGAAATTCTTGTGGTACTATATATATATATATATTTTTTATTTTTATTTTTTTACAGTATGTTTTAATTAAAAAATTTTATATTTCCTTCATTATCTTTGAAGAAACCCTAAAAAAAAAACCTTGTTAATGATTATTTTCATCAAGATTAACACTGACCATGTCGCTAGAAGAACAACAGCAAAAAGTAAATGGGTTAGAGAAAAAGGAAGTCAATGAATACAGGATGTAATTGCAGAAGGGCTGACAGCAGAACTACATCAAACAGAGGGATGTGTGCTAACCAGGAGAGTCATCAAACAGCAAGACTTGCACACGACCCAATCAAAATATCCAAAGCCGTTCGCTAAAACTCACTGACTCTATGCTCACCTCCAAATCAAACCGGCGGCCCTGAGTGGGATGGAACCATTACAGTCCCCTAATGTTTTTATAATTCAGATGAATTCTCTGGGAATGTGACACTCTGAGTGCGGTTCCCGAGGCTAAACATATCCCTCAATGGAAACGCTCACCCATCTCTCCACAGCTGAGAATGTCCCTCATTAGTATTGAGCAGACATCCGGAATAGGACTTTGCTTATTCGGAGGAAAATAGGAACATGCTTTAAAGAAACAGGTGGAACATTCATCCCAGGAGATGGTGGGAGAGAAATGCAATGTTTAGTATAAAAGGAGGCAAGGCTTTTAATGGAACAGATGAGCCAAAAATGAAATTTCTGTCATTATTTACGCATCCTCATGTTGTTCCAAAACCTGTATGACATTCTTTCTCTAGCAAAGAAAAGTCTGTTTGCTCGGTTCCATGCAATTACAATGAATGTGGACACTTTTCAGGCTTTAATAAGGATGCAACGGGTATCATAAAAGTGGCCATTTCGACTCATGTTCTGAAGTAGCTTTGTGTGAGAAACAAACCAAATCTACATCAATATTCACTTAATCTTGACATAAATCTTAACTTTGCTTAAGAGAAGTAGAAATGTCCAATTTATAAGCAAATCATTGAGTCAAATGTTTTCAATGAATCACCTGATTTGGTTCATAAAACCCCCCATTCGTTCATGAATCAGATTGTTACGGTCGGTCACTGACTCAGTCCAAATGATTTAGACTCGATTAATTGTAATCGTGTGGAAAAGGACGACACATATACTCAACAGAATTTCACTTTTTGTGTTTCACAGAAGAAAAAAGCCATACAGGTTTAGAAAGACATAAGGTTTAGTATATAATGACAGAATTTTCATTTTTGAAGATATACTTTTCCTTTAACACCTGTGAACGCCATGTGGCCTGTGAACATTTTGGTGTCACAGCACATTGTTTGTCATTAAGCAGAGCTCCTAGTGTTCATTAGCATTAGCATTAAACCCGATCGAAGTGGGAGGTGTGGCCAGACTCGTTCTTTACCTACACTGGACCACAATTTGTACTTTCGTACGCTGCGTGCTCTGTGCAGACTGTAACAAGATGTAATTGAGAAGAATAATGGTTTTGTCCACTTCATGCCGTTAACTAGCGAGACTGTGATAGCTAGCTTCTGTCTGCAATTATGTCTAATTTTCTGCTGAGCCCCAGATACGGCTAAAGCGGGGAATGATGATAAGCACAGAGTATTTTAATGAACACAGAGGTCTTCTGCAGGCTCAAATGCTCTTCTTGTTTAACCAAGGATGTCCACCCAGGCCGGACCACAGTCTTGAGGAGTGCTGCGTGAGTGTGCGGTACCCACCTCTCAATGATGTCAGCGATCACACAGGCAAACATCTGCAGACCCTCAGGCAACTGCAAGGCCACTGCAGGTCAAAGACAGAGAGTCCAGTCAGTGCAATATAATACAATATGAATGACAGCTGCTCTGGCCTCCTATATATTAGTCTGGCGATGCAGGCAGTCTGATGTGCAAAATATAAACTAGAGATGTACCAAAATTAAAGCTTTGGCAAATATCTAAAAAGCAAACAAACAAACAAAAAAACGTAGAAATCCAGATTTCTAGGTGCTAAACTGCTTTTAAATCCACTACCCCTCAAAGATTTAACAAATGTTGGCCTACTATGAAACAATTAAGAAATGTTATACAATGGCTAGTTTTCTTTTATAAATCCTAAAAAAATAGCCTACTAATTAAAAAAACCCCAACAACATAGCTTTACAAGCATTTACATGGTACTCAGAATATAAAGAAACAAAATGCCTGTATGGACGAAATAAATGAATACAACATTTTATTATATTAAAATAAATAAATAAATAATAAAATACAAACATTTAATTTGATTTAAAGATGTCTTCCTTTAAATAACAGGCAAGTTCATTTGCTCATCAAATGGGTAAGAGGGCTTTAACCAATAAAATACTTGTTGATATAAATACAAAGAACCTTACCTTATGTTCAGCATCAATAATGACTTTGTGTACTCAGCTATATTACAGAAACAACTGAGTACTACTATAGCAGCTAATTATTTAAGGAAACCAAACCACAGCACAAAACTTTAGACAGGGTTGCCAACTCTTAACGCATTTGGTGTGAGACATGTTATTGGCCTCTGTCTCGCATCTTCACAATGCCAAAACACAAAAGTCATGCTTCATTATGAGCCAAAAGTAACAATAATTAAATTCAGCCAAAAAAACTGTATTGAAAAATTAACTGGTTCAAAGACACAGAGTACTGGCTATTTCTATCTGGCGCATTGCTGAGGTTGAACACAACCCCAAAAATCTCCATTGTCTCTGTGGAAGAACAACATTCTGCAATATTGCAACAGTGGAACATAAGGAAATTCTGGAACATCTGTGTCGTTCTCCACACTGAATATTGTTATTTTTATCATCTGCATATTAATTATTTCATGCAAGTAGTACTTTCTGTAACATAATATAATATAATATAATTCTGTGCATGTTCTGAGATAAGTGGTTCTCAGGTAAATGTATATGCACACAAGATTTAAATGCAAATAAATCACTCCAAGCAGCTGGCAAAGTTGGCATGAAGCATAAATGCAAAGTTGGCGCAGTTTCAGACAAGCTAACCATTTTAACAGCTGCCATAACTTGCTTGTCACACTAAATTTACACCACACCTAAAACAGTGACAAAGATGCACTATCTATTTTTTTTACGAGAGAGAGCTCATACACAGTGCAAAACAAAAAGGTGTCTCTCAGGGTGGAAATGTATGTGCAGTTAAATGCTGTGAAGGAGGAGTGCATTAAATCAGTGTGAAATTAATGTGCATAGAACAACAGAGAGATGATAATAGGCACATGGATGACATGAAAGCATGGTATACCATGGATGTTGGATCCATTACAATGTCTTAATCCAAGAAAAATCCATACATTATCCCTTATTGAGGCCACTGACCTTTAGACACAGCCATACAACCATATCTGCACTGTTAGAATTAAATTAAATTATAATAATTCAATAAAAGACTACATATTAATAATAACATGCAAAGCAGTTAACTTCAATGTATTAACAGTGATGGAAATATTAACGCTACTTTACAAAATTAAAACACAGGCTAACATAATACTCCATATGCTCATTACTAGATATTTATCTTATCTTGCATTAAATCACTTTTCTAAGAACATGACCAATTAACTTTACCTGGATATTTGATATTGAAAAATAGCCGAAAGAGCTGCTAAAAAAAGAGATCGGCCTATTCTATTCTAAATAACAACATATTGTCAAACAGTTTGTATATTATTTACTTTATTGGTATGATGAGAAGCTATTATTTTTCCATGAATAGAATAACAACCCATAAGCCGATACTGTACCAGTCTAATGAGAGCATGCTTTTTGCATTTATGCTTATATTTAAATCATTTAAACTCTTTAAATTATGTGGTTGATGAACTTAACATTAGACATGTTCAAAGAATGTGATTTTTTCTTCTTCTTCCTCATTGTACACCAGCATCATGCTTAGATATGCTGCGCTGTTGTCTTGGAAACAGACTCATGACCTAAAATTGGATATGTTACATACATGTACTATACAGCCTAACAAGTGAACAATGGGGGGGGAAAAAGGACCGTGAAATTTCCAATCAGGTCATAATGATGTGTGACCTATCCAGCTAGCAGCCTTTTCATCAGTCAGTAAACGAGCATGAAACATAACACAATTTCTAGTCCATCAAAAAGACTGTAGCAACATCTAAATTTTTTTTTTTATCAACCGATGCTTTCAACTTCTGACTCTGTTACACTAATTATAAGATATTTTAAATCAAGCTAATATTTGAATATTTTTTTATCATTTTACATGACAAATACCAAATTTCTGGCCTCTTCTCATTAGTACTGAAATACATGTGGCTCACAATCTGCTGTATGAATTATTAAAACATGCTGGATCACTGCAGTAAAATCAATTACAACCATATCCATTTAATCAAAACATAGCATTCCCTCCATCGTGAGAAAGTTTCTGGCCAGTTTCAGACACATCTGACCAGTGATGCATTCCTACGTTTCAAACACATTTGGTTTTCTTTGAGGTGCTGAACATTTTTGCAAGTTCTGCTTGCTTAAATATACTGTCAAAGTAAGGTTACACATCTGATTAACTACATATAACACAGGTAGAGCAGTGCAATTTGTGAAAATTACTGTGATAGTCTTGTGAGCATCAGTTAAAATGGATTTAACTGAAGTGATTTTTGTGCCGTAATAAGCAGTGTTTTGTAGGGAAAAAGGACCGTGAAATTTCCAATCAGGTCATAATGATGTGTGACCTATCCAGCTAGCAGCCTTTTCATCAGTCAGTAAACGAGCATGAAACATAACACAATTTCTAGTCCATCAAAAAGACTGTAGCAACATCTAAATTTTTTTTTTTATCAACCGATGCTTTCAACTTCTGACTCTGTTACACTAATTATAAGATATTTTAAATCAAGCTAATATTTGAATATTTTTTTATCATTTTACATGACAAATACCAAATTTCTGGCCTCTCCTCATTAGTACTGAAATACATGTGGCTCACAATCTGCTGTATGAATTATTAAAACATGCTGGATCACTGCAGTAAAATCAATTACAACCATATCCATTTAATCAAAACATAGCATTCCCTCCATCGTGAGAAAGTTTCTGGCCAGTTTCAGACACATCTGACCAGTGATGCATTCCTACGTTTCAAACACATTTGGTTTTCTTTGAGGTGCTGAACATTTTTGCAAGTTCTGCTTGCTTAAATATACTGTCAAAGTAAGGTTACACATCTGATTAACTACATATAACACAGGTAGAGCAGTGCAATTTGTGAAAATTACTGTGATAGTCTTGTGAGCATCAGTTAAAATGGATTTAACTGAAGTGATTTTTGTGCCGTAATAAGCAGTGTTTTGTACCGCATGTCATCATTTTCCAGCAAAACGGTGTTTATGAATTTATAGCGGACATGGAGTTACACGAATATACAGGTTTCAGCTATTATTGCAATTTAAAAACATAGTACATTATTTTTTGCATAAAATTTTGTAATTTTAATGTAAAAAGAAAAAATTTGAAAATATAAAAAATATATTAAGTGAACATATTTCATTTTAAAGTTTTTTTTATGTTAAATAGGCCTATATATTTTAAACTGAAATGAAAATAATAATAAAAAATTTAAATAATATAATATGAAAATTCTGACACATAAAGCAAAAAAAATATATATATATATTATATCATATTTAAAAATATATATATTTTAGTTGAGAGACCAGTACAACAAAATTTGCAGGGCAAGCCTGAACATGTCGGGACCAAAAAAAAACCTTTTTTTTTTTTTTCTCTTGAGCCTGCCTTTCTTGAGGCTACTTCAGTGTGAGCTCAGGATGTGCCCTACTTAGAATTCACACCATCTTTTAAGAAATTGTGAAATTACATGAATATGGCTCAGCTGGGAAGAAATGAGCAATAAATGAGATGGAGAAAAAAAAGAAGATAAGCAATTTGTTCTGAGAGCAGACGAGCTAAAGAGCGGCCAGGAAGAGTGATGGATGAAAGGAAGAAGAGGGAATACAGCTGGGCTGAGCAACACTCTGATGAAAGGTTAAAAGACTGGCCCCTTTCAGTCCAGACAGACACAGACAGGTCATTACCTGGGAAAGGGCGAGTTTATTAACAGTAAAAGGTTATTCAGCTCAGTACAGCCTTGCCTGACAAATCTCTCCATCCATCCATCCATCCATCCATCCATCCTCAATCAGCCGCTGACGAGCTGTTTCTCGCTAAGAAGGCCCGGCGCCGGCCCAGGGCTAAGTGAGCACACATTTGTACACCACACATCCAGAAATGTCATAGAAGCTCAAGAAAATGCCAAAATGCCAGAACCCTCGACTGACGTGGAGTGGGCAAACACACACAGATAAATGTGCTTAGTGTGTTCAGCTACACCTGTTACCACACCACAAGGACTGACAAACAAAATGCTAGCCTTTATCAATCTATCTGAATGACTGAAAGAGCACGGCTGCAACAATAAAAGCTAAACAGATGGGATGAGGTATGTTATAATTAGGTAAATTATTATAAATTACGATTAGGCATCACAGAATTTATAAGTCCTCTTTCAACACATTATAACAGTAACAGCTATGATGCAACAAAGTTGGGGGTGGGACTACCTGTTTGGCTAACCAATGACAAAAACGGGGAGTGTTCTAGGAAACCTATTCGAAAGCAGTCATTTTTAGCACAAAAAAAAACTGCTTGACAATCCTCATAAGGCTGCGGTTCTCTCGGTTGGTTGTGCATCTTTTTCTTCCAC